AGGGGAAAGGAGAGTGGCTGGTCCCTCTCCCGGTAGAAAACCAGCAGGAAGAGGGAGCACAGATGGGGGGCCGCTCTCTTCCAAGACCCCCAGTTCCCAGGAGAGGCCAGCAGTATTTTGGCCAGCTGCCTCCTGCCAGCCTCACCTCCCACAGACCCTGGGGGTTCAGGCTGAGGCCGTGGTACCCAACTCTGCTCCTTCCTCCCGGGCAGCTGGCGGAGGGCTCAGGATGGGATGGGGAGATGGGGAGATGCCACAGAGCATCTCAGGGGACCGGTCCACTGCCTCACGATGCTGCCTCCCATAAAGCGACCAGGAGCCTCCCTCAATCAGGGAACGCTCCCTTTCCAAAGCACGGTGCCAGGAATTCATCGGGACCGGGCGCTGGCTGGCCCTGAGAGCAGGTGAAGGCTGCACAGACTCATTTCCACCACTTCATCTGCCCCCCAAAGACATTATTTGGAAGGTGCCTTAGCTCTTTGCACCCTGGGAGCTGAAAATCCAGCTATCACTAATAATGAGCGGTGAAAACAATAAACTGCCCTCGCCCCTTCAGCCACCCCGGAGAGCTCATAGGACTCCCAGTCTATTCCCAGAGTTTGGAAATCTATTGTTTATTCTCCCCCTGGCTTCCTGGTGAGACCCCACCTGGAGCTCTGGGTCCAGTTCTGGGCTCCCCAGTTCAAGAAGGATGAGGAACTCCTGGAGAGAGTCCAGGGGAGGGCAACAAGGATGATGAAGGGATGTATGGATCTCCTACAAATACAGCTCCCCCTGCGAGGTAGAAATGGGCTCTAGCAGCTCGGAGAGCAGGGGTGAGAGGGATGGGTGCCAGTCAGACACGTAACCCCGCCGGCAAGGAGCCCGCGGGTGCGGGGGCACCCCCCTGGGTGCACGGGATGCACAGCCTGGGCACCCCAGCTGGCTTTATAGCAGGGGAAAGCGGCCAGGGCCAGGCATCCCCCAGCCAGGGCAGGGGCTGCCCGGGGCAAGGGCATCATCCCCGGGCAGTTGGGACCAGCCGGGGCTGCAGCACCAGTCTGTGCTGACATGAAACGGCAGGAGACATGAAAGGAAACAAGAGAAGGGGGGGAGAAAATGTCGAATCACAGAATCGTCTGGGTTGGAAAAGACCTTTAAGATCAAGTCCAACTGTTGTGATATATGATGGCAAGGAGTTGTATGCAATGATGGAAGGTGCTGGGGAAGCTGCCTCACCCCGGAGGGCAGAGGGAGGATGAGCCGACACAGCGCAACTCGCTCGAACAAGAGATATTTGGGGTCTGTTGGGGAGGGGAAAAGCCCCCAGAGCACTTCCAGGACCCGGTGGGTGTTTTAGTGGGGTGCACGTGGAAGCCTGCCTCTCTCCAAGGTGGCACGCGTTATCGACCTGCACGGGGAGCGGAGGCAACCCCCGCTCTGCCCCTCTGCAGCGGCCCAGGAGAAGTCACCCCCCGGCGTGTGCCAGCCAGCCTGGGGACACAGGGCGGCATGGGGACGCCAGGGCAGAGCAGCTGGGAGACGGAGCCCTGCGGTGCCCGGCTCTTGCAGCCCCTGGTAAAGGCAGCCTTGCCATAGAAAGGGCCAGGGTGCGTGGGGCAGGGTGCAGGACCCGTGAAGGGTGCAGGATCTGTGAAGGGTGCAGGGTGCCTGGGGCAGGGTGCAGGACCCATGAAGGGTGCAGGGTGCATGGGGCAGGGTGCAGGCAGAGCAGCTGGGAGACGGAGCCCTGCGGTGCCCGGCTCTTGCAGCCCCTGGTAAAGGCAGCCTTGCCATAGAAAGGGCCAGGGTGCGTGGGGCAGGGTGCAGGACCCGTGAAGGGTGCAGGATCTGTGAAGGGTGCAGGGTGCCTGGGGCAGGGTGCAGGACCCATGAAGGGTGCAGGGTGCATGGGGCAGGGTGCAGGGGTTTTGGGGCAGGGTGCAGAACCCATGAAGGGGGCAGGATCTGTGAAAGGTGCAGGGTTTTTGGGGCAGGGTGCGGGATCCATGAAGGG